CTCTAGACGTGATGTAATAAGCTGGTCTGCTTGGTTATAGAATGCATTAACGAGCTGTAATCAGCTCCCTGATTGGTTACTGAAAATTTGTGCATTTCCGCGCCGTTTTAAAATTTAATTCATACCTTCGAATTCTTCAAAGATGTTATCTAAATTATGATTCCGATTTTTCCGATTTTTTGTGGTACTTATCAAAAACAAACAGGTTAAATGACTCAAAAAAATGTAAGTACATATTTTTCTTTTATTTTATAATTGAATACTTCAATTTTTGTTTAAAAAAATTAATACACTATTTTCAAAATTGTGAGATAATTATTGTCCATATGTTTTAATGTTAATTATATTCTATATAAACGTATTTTAAATTACTTGAATTTAATAATATTCTAATTCTTTTAAATGTTGGTATGATGGTTTTGGTGCTACTTTGGTAGACGGTTGCACGGATTTTTGGCGATTTACTTTGGCGCGATTTTTACAATCGTTAGCCATCTTGAAAAACGCTGTTTTTACGCATAGTAAAGCATTCGAAACTTAAAAAAAAAAAAAAAAAAAATAAATATCATTAGAAGTAATGCATTAATTTTCTGTTGAAAATGTCGTTTTTTAAGATGGCAGGCAAGTGTAAATAAATACATTTACTATGAGTATAAAATACTACTAAAAAGTAAGGTTATTATCACTTTCATATAGTAAAAAAGAGAATAAAAACACCGCTATAAAAACCTTGTTCCAACGTTTAATTAGATTAAAATATTACTGAAATTGAATATCGAATTAAAAACCATCATACCAACATTTAAAAGAATTAGAATATTATTAAATTCAAATACTTTAAAATACGTTATATAGAATATAATTAACATTAAAACATATGTGACAATAATTATCTCAGGAATTTTTGAAAATAGTGTATTAATTTTTTTAACAAAAATTGAAGTATACAATTATGAAATAAAAGAAAAATATGTACTTACATTTTTTTAGTCATTTAACCTGTTCTTTATTGATAAGTACCACAAAACAAATCGGAATCATAATTGAATTGGCTCTTTTAACCATCTTCATCTGTCATCCACATTTCTCGCACTTCTTTGAAGAAGCAATTAGCGAGGTTTCCTCCAAAAATTTAAAATAAATTTCCTCTGACGCTATTAACAATTTATAAATAAAATAAATCTTTGATTAGGAAAGACAGGTTGGCCAAAATAAGGTCTCAAAAGGCAATTTGTTTATTCCAATATCAATAATTCTTGGTAATTACCAATAAAAACATTCATCTTCGAAACAGAGATATCCATTCCATTTGAAATCTGAGGAATTCGAAGAGATGAATAATAAAATATTAAAATGGCGCGGTAATGCACAAATATTCAGTAACCAATCAGGAAGCTGATTACATCACGCATAGAATTAAAATTATTTAAATAATCATTCATAATAAATCATTTTAAAAAAAAACAAACAAAAATTAATTGTATTTTATATTTAAGCCATAATAATGTTTAAAACATTAGATTAATCTATATATTGATAAAACCATTTTTTTTAAAGTAAGGTGACGTCATGATTACATCATCCACAACATAAATTATATAAAATATTATAAACAACAATTTTTATTTCAAATAAAAATTCAAAATTAAATTGATTTTTAATATTTAGAAGCCATAAATAATTTAAAACACGGAATTTATGCATGATAAACGCATTCTTTTTAATAAATGAAAACAAAGTATCGGTTACCATAAATATCTTATCCAGCAATGGGTTTACCATAAGTTGCATTACTCGCCAAAAGAAAAATCGCCAAAATCCGTGCAACCGTCTACCAAAGTAGCACCATGGTTTTTAATTCGATATTCAAGTTCAGTAATATTTTAATCTAATTAAACGTTGGCACAATGTTTTTATAGCGGTATTTTTATTCTCTTCTTTGCTATATGAAAGTAATAATAACCTTACTTTATTATTGTATACTCATAGTAAATGTATTTATTTACACTTGCCTGCCATCTTAAAAAACGACATTTTCAACAAAAAATTAATCCATTACTTTTAACGATATTTATTTTTTTTTTAAGTTTGGAATACTTTATTATGCGTAAAAACAGCGTTTTTCAAGATGGCTGACGTTTGTAAGAATCGCGCCAACGTAAATCGCCAAAAATCCGTGCAACCGTCTACCAAAGTAGTACCAAACTTGTATAACAAATTCAATCATGGTCGACGTTCGCTCCAGGAGGAATTCTGTGAAGGTCGTTCAAAATTGGTTGTTGTGTCAGAAAATATCGATGTTGTGTGTGAACTGTTAAACCAAGATTGTCATAATGACATACCGTGAGATTGAGGCATCTTTGGTCATTTAAAGCATCAGTAAGATATTCCACGAACCATTTAGCAGTAAAAATGATTTGTTAGCGTTGCTTCCCGCATAATCTGACAAACGCTTAAATGGATACCCGTGTCGTTTGGTGCAAGGAAATCTTGGAAAATGTGTTCAAGGTGCATCAAAGGCTGGGTATAATATCTACACAGGTGATGAATTTGGATCTATGCATACGAGCCGAAACAAAACAGTAGTTAACTGTACTATGCGTCTTCCAAGGCGAACCAAATCCAACAAAAGTTGTTCGCGGAAGGAGCACATCGAAGCAAATGCTTGCCTGTTTCTTCGGCATTACCGATCACGTGACGACAGCGGCATTGCAGCAAGGCAGGACCGTCAATTCTGAATGGTATACGACCATTTGTTTGTCAGACGTCTTCCGAGAAATTCGAAAAAAGCATCAGAGATAAAAGCATGACAATGCGAGCTCTCACACATCGGCTCAAACAAAGGAATTTTTGACTGGCCAAAACATAGAATTTATGGATCATCCGCCGTACAGCCTGATTCGGCATGCAATGCATTTTTTTTTATTACCGTACATCAAAAATAAATTGGTAATCAAAAATAAATGGTCAGCGGTTTGCGAAACCTGAAGAAGCGATTAATACGTTGAAAACACATGCTTTAAAATTACCTCAGTCGGAATGAAAAAGTGCTTCAAATATTGGTTCAAACGCATGCAAAAGTGTATTGATATTGACAAAGAATATTTTGAAAAACAATGAAATCAGTTTCGATCATGAACATTTGTTTTTCATTATAAGGCCAGAAGTATACACTGGTGTGCAAACATTAAGGACGAAGTCGAAAAATTAGCATATCAGCTGAACGAAGAGGCAGAGCGGACAGAAAGACCAATCAGGCGGTTAAGTAAGGTGATGTACGGTAGCACATGCGCAGATATGCAGGTAGACGTAATGGGGGAGTGTCTGAGTAGTATAAAGCATGTTGTCGGTGTAAGATCAGTATTTCTGGCAAAGAGATTGCACGCCGTATAGCAGTTAAAATCACACCGAGTTGCTGCCTCGGCGAGAAATGGCGAATAATCAATCTGTTAGACGACATCTGGATGCTTTTACTCGAGGTCGAATCATTGGGAAGTTGGAGGAAGGCCGCAGTGTGACAAGTGTGGCTGCAGAGTTCGGAATTGCTCACAGCATCGTTTCACGACTTTGGAGACAATTTCAAACTACAGGAACAGCTATCCGGGGGTTTAGTAGTGGTCGTCCACGAGGAACCACACCCGCAGATGATCGGTATATTGCCTTACAGGCCAGAAAAAACAGGCGGCAGACAGCTGGAGAAATCGCTAGACACACGACACAGGCGACTGGACGACCAATATCGCGTTTTACCGTGGCCAGAAGACTGCACGGTGGTCTGTTTGCACGACGCCCTGTACAGTGTGTACCTCTAACGCCTGCCCATCGGAGAAGGCGTTCTCTGTGGTGCCGGGAACACCGGAATTGGAGAGACAATGAGTGGGGTCGAGTACTTTTTACAGATGAGAGCAGATTCAGTCTGAGTAGCGATTCTCATCGCATACTCATCTGGAGAGAGCGGGGAAGCCGCAATCATCCCTCGAACACCATTGAAAGGGACAGGTATGGAGGTGGCGGTGTTCTCGTTCGGGGAGGCATCATGCTTGGTAGTCGTACAGACCTTCACATCTTCGACGCAGGTTCAGTCAACGGGACCCGTTATTGTAACGAGATTCTTCTTCCATATGGGCGTCTTTTTAGAGGCGCTATGGGTTCGCACTTTCTTTTCATAGACGACAATGCACCATGTCATCGCACAGTAGCTGCCGAACAGCTCTTAGAGAGTGAGGATATTGAACGTATGGATTGGCCGGCACGATCTCCGGATCTCAATCCCATCGAGCATGTATGCGATTTTCTAGGCAGAGGCTTGGCAGCTCGTACCGTACCACCAGTAACGATTCCGGAGCTTCGATTGGCGCTGCAAGACGAATGGGCAGCAATGCCTCAACAACTCATTGACACCCTCATTCTCAGCATGGGCAGACGCTGTGAAACCTGCCTAGCAGTCAGGGGAGATATTATCCCCTATTAAAGACCGGATGTTTCTTGCTGGACACCCATCACAGGGATGTTTCGGCCTTCAGTCGCATTGCGCTCCATGCTACTTTTTCAATAAAGCTTCTTTTTATCCCTCTTATTTCTCTTTTAGTAAGTGTTGCTTACATTACTCATGTCCTTACGTATTGAGGATCTTACGGTATTAAATGTGTTGATTTGGAAAGCTTTTGTACAAAGTTATATTGAAAAAAACGTCTCGTCCTTAATTTTTGCACACCAGTGTAAATAGCAATCCTCGTATATTAAAAATTAGGCTAAGGAATTTTACTCTAATTTTTATAAGTGCCACAGAAGTCCTATACGGTAGACTGATAAAGTATTAAATACATTCAGCTAATTATTAAAACACAGAAATGTAATTTCAGCATGAACTTACTGCTTATTAAAACCTTTAAGACGATCATCACATCTAATTAAAATCATAAAACTAAATATCATAAACTGAATGCTTTCAAATTTCACAAATAAAAAGGTAGCATAAATATATGAAATTTATCCTTTCTTTTAGATCCACCGTCCGTCAGCGTCAGCGTAATACCTGATGTGGCAGCTGAGCTGTCAGATGCTGTACTTACTTGCAATCCCATTGATGGTAATCCTGCTGTTCTGATGGCTGTGCGTTGGTATCATAATGGTAATTCTATTCAGAGTGAAACTACAGAGAATGAAAAGACAGAGCTCACGTTGAAGAATTTAACCAGAGAACAAAGTGGAAATTACACGTGCAGGGGAATGAATACTGCCGGCTGGAGCGTCGATTCGGAGCGGCAGTATTTGGACATACACTGTAAGTTGAAACGTTATGCAATAGTATTCAGTAGCATACAATAGTGGCACGTTGTATGGCACATTGTTTTTTACATGTGCGTTTATGTTTTAAATATTGAGAACAGTAATTTTTCTTGAGTCAACATTGTAATATTTTGTAGTTTGATAAAATATCTGATGTTGACACCACATGGCTTCCTTGTACGGCATACTAAATTATACACATTTTTGCTGCATTTCGTTTAAACGTATTTCCTCGAATTTCATTGGAGGCAGGTTAAAAGCAACTTAAAATTTTTTTGCAATTAAACTTAGAGTTTTTACGCAAAAAGAAGCCGGGCAGGAAGACAAACTTTTTGTTGCACGAAACCGAGAGTTAATCTTTGATCCATCTCGTCATAAAGACACTGAAGTTGGTGCACAAACTGACTTAGTTCATTGTTCTACTAAAAATTTCAAATCTAAACAAATTACGGCCACGTTAGAGTTAGCACCACTTAAAATTTTAAAGTAATGATAATTCTACAATTATTGCATGTAGATTTACTAAAGGCATAAAAAGAACCTTAACTGAAACATAAGAAAAACATAATTCAATCACTTTTAAAGCAGAAAATGCACAATTTACCAACATATGTGAATAACAAAACTGAGCTCCCCGAGCCGAGTCAGAGTGGGAATAAATACAAATATAATTTGGTGCAGCCAATTACAACCAAAAAAGGAGGTGCTCAACTAAATATTATAGCTGTCCCATATACAAAATTTCAAGTTCTAAGGCTACTCGTTCTAAGGCGCATGTTGTACAAACAAAATTGTCATTTTCTCTTCAAATACATCATCACGTTGTTTTCTCTTTTTACCGCCCATGCCTAATCCCGAAAGTCAAACATTCGTCCCTTTGCCAAATGTTCGCCTGACCACAAGATCATGGCATGACTTCTTGTCAAATATCTGAGTTGAATTTAAAAAAAAAAATCAATTAGAGGTAGGTGCACACATATCTAACCTAAACAATGAATTTCTTGAGTTGCATAGGAGAACTTTGCGAATCTTTTCATCATCGCACTGACACAGCAGCGGCCTAGCGCATAGCCAGTTTTCTCATTTTATGCAGCTAGAACGGAATAATTTCTATCGCTTTTAATGTTTTATTATGTTTTACGCTTTAAATGTTTTAATAATATTTAATTTTTGAAATTTTTAATGGTAAACTTTTTTTATTAGATGTCAGAGATTAATGTGAAATTTTGATGCCTTTTTTTTCTTTCTATTATTTATTCATTTTATTTATTTACCCTAGATCCTCCAGGTTCTGCCAGCATATCGCAGATGGAGCCCACGGCAGTGAAGGGGCACACAGTCGCCTTGCTTTGTCAACTGGACGACTTAGGACATCCACCAGCTTCCAAATATTTGTGGGAATCACCAACGCGCGTCATCAGTAATAACGCCTCTTCAAACCAACATCAGCGACAGGTTTCTACAGCGGCTTCAATCCTCAGCATGGAAAATGTCAGCGCAGCATCTGAGGGAATTTATTTCTGCGCGGGAAGGAACGAAGTTGGCACTGGCCCTTTAGGGCATTTTACCCTCAAACTCAGTGGTAAGTAACTAATTCTAAAGCTATTTTGCACGATTTCCATCATAACTGCTTTACTATTACAACATATAAATTAAATAGATTTTGATGCATCGGTTATTTACTACTTGTAATTCACGTAGCTCTGTAAAGTTAATATAAAACTATCAAGCAGGTATTCTCAATTAAATTATTTCAGGTGAAACAAATTCATTCGGATGAAAAACAGAAGTGAAAATATAAACTAAATCATCTCAAATTTTTAAAAGTAAGGATTATTCCGAATGATTTTTATTTGCTTGAAGAATTAACAGGCCTGAGATAGCTGATCAGTTGTCAAAAACGTATGCAAATTGTGCAACCAGAAGCAAATAAAATATGTGAAACTAGGATAACAAAGAAAAAAGTCTAATATTCAGTAGGAAAGCTGAATATAAAGCGAGATCAATGTGAAGAATATACTATAGAGATATGGTATTGGTATCCGCCAAAAACATCGCATTCAAAAACGACGCAGAGAAAACAACGCAAGAGGAAAACCTCGCAGTTCTGTAATTTGTGAGAACAAGAAGATATGAGGAATGTGTTTGCCTCTATATTTCATATTTTTTAATAAACTAATGTATTTTTACTCGGAAAGCAAAAATGAATCTTAACCATTCAAAATCTGGAAAAGTGTAGAAATTAAAGCTATGTGTAGGAAGTAACATGATTTCAGACTCGCGTAGTTAACTATTTAAAGCCATTATTGTAATTGGTTTCTTTTATAAAAATACATTAGTTATTTCTCATTAAAATATAGTATACTATATGGTATAAAAATAATACAAAGGAAGATGAGTAACTGTATGAGATTATCTATATTAAAATTGTTTAGTTATCAGATTGTCTGCGATGTTATGATCATGCGCGTATTTGTAGGTAGTTTATATTTTGCCACGATATTTTATACAATGACGTTTACAAACTGCGAAGTGTTTTAACTGCTCTTTTTTTAATGACGATGTATTTAGAATTAGCAAGTAATATTTTCTCCTTGGTTTCTTTTCTGTCCCGATGTTGTGCTTTTGCCTTGTTTTCCCAAAGTCGTTTTCGTCTAATTTGTTTTCGCCTGCACCCATAGTATTCTTCTGCATCAAGAAAGTAAAATAAGGCTGTTTCTAGGCTTGCCATTCGATGGGATTTGATGTTTATGAAAATTTAGGCTGTATTATCTGTATCAAGTAATTACAAAAGAATGCGCAACTTTCACCCTTTGGCGCTGTATATACTTATGCAGCAAAATTTCCGCAATATAGAAGAAAGCTGTTGAAGGAGGTAGAACAGCAATGTGTTTCACGCTTATTCTTATTCAAAAATTCGTATGTTATGCTTTATCTTGCTAAAGTTTCATTTTGTTTTCTGGGCATATAATATTGGGCAGATGTTTGAACAAAATCATTTCAAATAGATAAATAAATATATAAATATATAATAGATACTGGCAAAATTCTGCTTCTAATTGATTCAAAGATGAAATAAGTGAAATATTCACATAACCTTAAATATGTTATTTCAGATTTTAACATAGCCTTGCTAACAACATCAGTATAAATTAAGCTACAAATTCCTTGTGCAAGTATTCTGTAAAAAGGTGGCATTAACTTTCTAAATCTGCAACACTTTTCTCCGATACTTCTATCAAAACGCTTTTCTTCTATCCTTCTGATCATAATTAAGCAATGTGAAAAAATGGATAAATTCATTTATAATTTATGAATTCAATCTATTCTTATAACAAAAATTATTTTACTTTATATATTCATGAGATAACTAATCAAATATGTTTCGAACAAACGCTAATTTCCTGTCTAAGAGGACGAAACGCTTTCATTCTCCCTTTAAAGTACCGAAACTTAATAAATACTCTCTTGTGAAAGTGGGACAGACCAATACCTTCTATTAATGCAAGCTGTTTCGATCGAGTAGCGGCATCATCAATAGCGAGCTCTCTTCCAAGGCAATAACCAATATTAGCTAGCGCAGCAGCTAGGAAGTATTCCTTTGTCATGTCATTGGATGATTGAGTGCTTGCGAACATAAAATTGCTGAGTTTATGCTTCTGTTCTGTTTAACATTATTATTTTCATACTGAAGTCTCGGACTTTGCGATATTTTCGTTTTTTCTTGTAAACAGAATTGCAAAAATTGTAAAAATAAATGAAAAGGTGGATAGCAATATGTAGATACCACATGTTAAGAAACTCACAATTTTAAGGATTACGCTTTCTGCTTATACATTTCTGCCTGAAGCAGGTAGTCTTTGTGTGTTTTTCACAGTGATTTGGAAAATGCCACTTGTAGGCTAGAAGTAAGAATGGTCCTACAAAAAATATCAGGATAATCTCCTAGTTCAATTACAGGATTCCTTAATTTTGTAATTATTAAATTACGGTGATTTAAACGCATCATTTTGTAATAATTAAGACAATCACATGACGGTAATAAGTCACCGATGTTCAAGTAACGAGCATCGCAAACAATAATCTTAATATTCCTTTCAATTACACTATTTCTTTAATTGATGGGTCATGATAAGCAATTTTAGCTGTGACTCATCTCAGCTATCATAAAAACAATTTTCTGGCTGCTTTGGTTTGAATTGTACAATGTAATTATCATAATATTAATGCCATTCCAGAGCACACAAATCAGTATTGCAAACAAATTAGCAAGTTCAACAGATCACTTCATCTACTTCAGCTCAATATGCAGGATGGTTAGAATTAAAGTTCTATTTTGAAATGGTCATAAAAGGAAAGCTTCTAGACGAAATGTCATCAAACTTGGTAATTCTGTAAAGGATGTCATGAAAATTTATTTTTCGCGAAAACAAAAAGTTAGAAAACTTATCACCTGAGGGATATGGCGCTGTATGTAATATTTTTAAACGAAATAAGACATGAAGACATGGGTTTCAAATGTGTTTAATCTTTCTGAAACGTGTTACAGAGAATGTTCAATGTGGGGTCCACCATTTTCCGAAAGCAAGTTAAATCGTATTACTGCATTCCAGCATCTCTTAGCATGTCAGAAGGAATGTTACAGACCTATCGGTGTATGATATCTTTCAAATTCCGACAAATTGTTTAGGTTGTTTGCTTCTTCTTGCCGTAAGCCAATTACAAACCATTGCGGTTTTGCATAACCCCACAAACAGTTTTGTTTTAGAAACGTCTAAAAGGTTTTAAACCGATATATCTTCATGTCTTGGAGCCGAATTCAGGCTTAAAAAATCACAAATTAGCGATCTGTATGAAAATGCTTTTCGGAACGCGCACACAATTGCGAGTGATTTTGCTATCTTAATTTTCTAATCGCTAATTTGCAGTTTGCACAGACGGATTTTTCCGTTATATGGATGGCGGACTCGACTTTTATCGCCTTTAACGCCTTTAAATGGTAATTTTGTTTAGGTCAATGTTTTTTAAAGATATACACCATGTTAAATCAGTGTAAAGAAAACGCTAAGTTATATTTCGACCCCTATTTCATTTAACAATATTTCATACAGCTGCTTCCAGTGATTAGTTTTATTTAACTTTTTATATTTTTGCGGAAAATAAATTCCTATGATCACCTTTACACATTATCAAGTTTGATAACATTTGGTCCAGTAATATTTCTTTTGTGACCATTTCAAAGTGGAACTTTAATTATAACCAACCCCTATATAGAGAGAAAGAGACAGAAAGAGAGTGAGAGAGCTATATATATATACAGGCAAGACGGACACATACACAGTTACATAGATATCCTAAATAACTTAAACAGAGATTTCAATAACGAAGACAAGTACTACAATTCTTGCTGGTCAGATACCGTAAGGTGCATTAATATGCACATTTTATTTAATCATTGTGTACGTTTGTCTACCTGACGCTAGATTTAGTTCTGTTTATTTCCCAAAATATGGTAATGTCATAGGAGTCATTATACAATACAAGGATGGCATTTGTTTCTAATATTCTTGCGTATGTTTTAATTCTTATTTCATGTATATCAAAAGAAAATCGTTTACCCATAATACTGACATTATGAGTTGTTTGCAAGTAAATTTCTCCCATCAACCTATTATACACACAGGTAAGGGAAGTAACGCTTTCGGTCCAAAAATTAAATAGTGAGTTTCAGTGAATAAGTACGAATTAGAGTCTGCACAACACGATCTTTTAATTTATAGAATATATGTCTGTCTCTGTGTATGTGTGTGATGATTTTTTCGTCCACGATAATTCTTGTATGAAACTCCTAAAAATTTCTATTTTCCGTATTTAAGCTTTCTATGTTCATGTAAAGAGTTAATTAGATTATGGGTAAAACTGGACAACCGGAAGTGTTATTTTAAAGGAAGGTCATAATAGTTTTTAAGGACAATTGGAAGTGGTATTTTACTTGAAGCCTGTAAGACTTTCTAATGAAAAGCTATGATAAAATACAATACGAGACTTTTCAGTTTTAGTGTTTCAAATTTTTATATCAATGCGAACAACGCATTAGATTGTGGCTTCAACTAATAAATGGGAATTGATACTTTACTTGAAGCTTCGAACAGACTTATGAAATATATTTGATGCGATAATCGAAAACTTCTGAAATCTGGTATATAAACCAGATTTCAGAAGTTTTCGATTATCGCATCAATGTAAGGAAGGAATTGTAATTGAAAACAACATATTGCATCCAAAGCTTTAAATGAATTTTTGTAATTATGTTGAATGAATTGAACAATATTGCATGTATTAGCATCAGCCCTCAATTTTTTTGTTTATTTCAATTTTGTGTAGACTCCAAATGTAATATATGTGTGTTATATATGATTTTTAACCGAATAATGTGAAAATGTAAATGTTAGCAAATGTAAAAATAAATGTATGGTTACACTTAACATTCAATAGGGAATTCTAAAGATATGCTGCTTTTAAAAATTTTGAAGCCTAACCTATGTGACCAGAGGATATACTACGGTCCATGCGATGTTATCG